ATTGGATCGTTGAAGTTAGTTTTGTAGAACACATATCGCCTAAAACAATCAATTCAAATATAATCATACATTTGACCAAAAAAAAAAAGAATCATATATACAATACAATTAAAAAAATTTGGCGGAGGCGGGAGACTAAAATTTTGATGGGCTGCCAAAATTTTGGCATGGACCTCTAAAAACTCAACTCTTGATTTTCAAAGAGAGCACTTAGCGCCCTTTAGCTCTCTCTCATCCTTTTCACTTCTCTCAAGCAGCTTCTCTGCCTTTCTTTTTCATAAACAAAACCCTAGCCTCCAGCCTTCATTTCGTTCATCAAAATCAACACCATCTTCTCCATTGCTCTCTATCTCTGCCTTCATCCAAAAATTTCCACACGCTCCTACCTCTGCAAACCCGAGCCCAGTTCCACCTTTTCGAAATCAAAAGCAAAACCATCTCTGATTGCAAACCCGGCGAGTTCCTCGCGAACTCGTCCTCCCTTATACTCTGCAACAACAAACCCCTCAAAATTCGTTGATCTGAACTTAACTCCAGAAGGGAAAACCATGGGTTCCTTTGCTACACACCACAGCTGCGCCGAGTTTCAGTCGACTGTGCACCCAAGTCCGCGGCTTCTTCTGTAACAGTGAGCACCTGTTTTTTCTTGTAATTTTTCGTTAAGCGTAGGATGACCACCAAGTGTTTGAAGAAATGTCTCAAAGGGTTATGACATTTTGGAACGCATTTGGAAACTCGGTTATTTGCTACTTTACCTGTAAATCCAAGTTTTTCCTTGAAATTTGTATTTATCAAGAAATTCGATGAGACCACTTGCTTATTTTAGGAAATGGGGCTGTTTCTTATGCTATAAGATTTGATGTGAGTGTGATGTTAATCAACCATTGAAATACCACAAATTTTGGTTGTAATGTTGTTTGTTGTTGGCTCTACAGGGGATATCTGTTTTAATTTGAAATGGGTTAGAAAGACAAGGGTGGTTGTCATCAAGCGAGGGTGGGTGTTAATAGTTTTCTAATCTGTAATAAATTAATAGTTTTCTAATCTCATTTGTAGGTAATGATAACAAGAGGCAAAGACAAGGGTGAGTGTCATCAAGCGATTCATTCCCTCTCAGAAGCACGACATCGTGGAAGGCAACAATCTGGTATTAGTCCAGCCCTATTATTTGTAATTTGGTATATTATTCTAGTTTAACTAATTTTGTCTTGCAATTCTTTAAGCAACTTTATATACAGTTTCATTCAATATTATAGCATCTTTCTTCATGAGAGAACTTCTTACAAATCCATTCTGTTGTGGTCACTCCAATCCGGTTGAGATTGTAGATGATCTCTATGATTATCTCAACAAAAATGTTCGATCATGTTTTTGGGCTTACGCTTTTTTCTCACGACTACCATTGAGCAATTGGAATTGGCCAGTGTAATGTGGTTGATAGTCTGTAGACAGTATGCTTATTTATTAAAAGTATCTTTAATGCTTGGAAGCTCTTCTAATGGTCATATTAGTATTCAAGTTCCCTGTCTTGTGTAATGCATATTGGATGAGTTCTATTGTGTTGAAAAAAATAATTTGGTTTGAAGGATACCCTTCAGACGCGAATGTAGTATATAATGTTCAAGGCTTTTTGCTATTTGATCCTTAATAGTCTCAAATCTAATTTCTTTTAATGCTCAAGGCGTTTGGTCATTCGGTTCCAATGAATTACATGGATTTGGTTGCTGCTAAACATTTACTCTGTCATTGCAGGTAAAGAAACATATCAAGCACGGCCAAAGTCATGAAGGTGGGATTTTCATTGTTGAAGCGCTTCTACATTCAAACTCCTCAATGGTTGGTTAAAGCGGACATGGAAAACTAGCGTTACAAGACGTATCATAGGATTGTAACAAGTACTTTAAATTTTTTTACATTGATTTTTGGTATATGTAGTTGAATATGGTTTCATTAATATAAAACAATTCATTCAATAAAAATTGCCATTGAAAATATTATTGAACTTATAAAAAAAAAAATTGTATTTGTATCCTATTATTTTTTACCGACAAAATAGGATAATCGCCCATATATAATTCCAACGCCTCTTGACCCTCATAAATATGTTTTTATGCATATTTTTGACAATTCTTAATTGTTCGTAATGGTAATTGCGACGATTATATACTCTTGTAAATAACATTTTACTATTGGAAAAACATTTTTTGACACAATGTTTTGGTCATAAAAAAATCATCAGAAAAAAGAGATGTCGTCGTTCAGAAAGTATATTCAACGGGCATATAAGTATTTCCGACCACATTGACATGTCGAAAATAAAATAATTTTGCCATTTTGAAAATTCATTTCCGATGGAAAGATAACTAGTAACGATGAGCCTCATGCCTTGGAAATAAAGCATTTTCGACGGCTGGTCAAGAAAAAAGTATTTCCAATGGAGCAATTTCCGATGCCCAGCGAGGGCTTTTTCCTGTTGGAAATAAGTATTTGCGACTGTAAATTACCTTTTCCGACAGCATTTGACCATTGCTAATGACGTTTAATTTTGTAGTGCTGTTTCTTGATACGACCAATATTGCATACATTTTAATGCCCTTTAGTTTAGATTTTTGTTATGTTTTTGAGTGAATTTAGTTTGTTTCATTTAGTTTTATGTTTTTCTTAGATTTGAAGAGTGAAGATGAAGAAAGAAGAAAAATGAGCATTTTGGCGATTGAAGTGAGTTATGTGCCTTGGAAGCAGAAGCTGTTTGTGCAGATCAGCCAACTTGACGGAATAAACTGTACTTCCTCAAAATGAACCAGCTGTTGAGCCTTATACCATTGGAAAGATATGGATGTTAGCTTTCAGAGGAATTTTACGGACTGTGATTTCGAGTTTCCTAGATGATGTTATGAAAGTTTTTGTACAAGACGTCGGTCAGCCAAGTCTACGCGGAAATTGCAAAATCTGTTGGGTTTTTTCAAGTCATAATTCAGTCGAAGCCCAAAGCCCAAGATAGAAAACGTTGGAGATGATTTTACTCCTATTTCAAATGGGTCTGGAGTAATTTACTTGGGAAACTTACCTGCCACATCATCAATTATCCAATACAAATGAGGAAAAGATTAAAAAAAGACCTAAGGATGCTAGGATTTTGACGAATGATAAGGGAGAGATTGTAGGAAGCAAAGGGGGTTCTCTGGTGAGGGATTCTCTGCGTGTTTTTGGAGGAGCAGCAGCCGCTTTCCATTTTTCCTAAGTTTTTCATGTTCTTAATACTTTTAATTATGTTTTCTTATTTTATGAGTAACTAAACTCTTTTTCTAGGGTTAGGATGATGCCCTAGCATGAATGTCTATGGTTTTTAATGTTATTCATTGGATTTCTAGTTTCTTTTAGATGAATGCTTAATCACTGTTTGAACTGTTACTGTTTGTTTGAGTTCTTTGATTGATCACCTTAGGACTTTGCATCTAGTAAGATTGGAAGATGAATTTGAGGCTGAACTAGCAATATAATTCAATTAGCTTCTTGTGGTTAAGTGTGGTAAATTACATTATTGCTTGACAAAGAATAATGGTTTGCTTGGTTCCCTTGTTTTCTAGAGCGTAAAGAGTCCTACTTGTTAAATTTATGCCTTAACCAGGATAGACTGCATGTTAGGATATACGACCTCTGCCTGAACTAGGAGAGAATCATTCACTTAAGGAAAACTATGGTCTAATGTGCCTGACAAGGACTTAGATACGAGAATTATCATCTAAAGAATTGAAAGATCCATTGAATGCATTGAAACCTAAATTAGATTGCTTGTGGTTGATTCCGAATCCCTAGACTTTTCATCACTTGCCTTAAAACACAACATTTTCTTTTCTTTGATTTCAGTTTTTACTTAAGGTTCTGTTTTTGTTCATTTATAAAATCATCACAACAAATTCTTTACATCCTTGATTGATTTATTAATTAAGATCGAGTCTAGTTCGTTGTTTGGGGTTGCGTGTCATTAATATTATTAGATTTGGTTTAGTTTATCAAATTGGAGATTTAATTAGAATCCTCGTGGGAACGATACTTGGACTTGCAACACGCTATATTACGACTATCTTGTGCACTTGCAAGTTTACACCAAGTTTTTGGCGCCGTTGCCGGGGACTCTAATTGAGTCCCCCAATTTGATATTTTATTTCATATCTAATAAGTAGTTATTGTAGATTATTCAATTTGATTTTGTTTTGTTCTCTCTAGTTTCGAGTAAGAGTCATAACTATTAAGATAAGTAAAAGTAATTTTCGTCACTGTTTTATTTCAGTTTCTGTATCACTGTTTCGACACAGTTTTGGACTAAACTATTCGATTTTTTACCAGGCATATTGTATATCGTTGGAAAGCCCCAGAAGTCTAGTTTTCAACCCAACAAACAGATCAATGATTGGATTTTTGAGCTGCAAGAAATTTACAAAATACTGAGCAGTGGTCAAACAAGGAGCACAGTCTGGTCGTATATGCAAGGTAGACGTTCGTTGCAATTTGAGTTGATTCATATAGACCAAGAACTTGAGAGTACTTTAAGAGAACAGCGGAGGCAGCAAGTGTTTCAAGAACCAGCCATGGGGGAAGTCAATAATGGTAGAGATAATCCTCCACCATTGCCACCACCACAACCAAGGCTCATGCGTGATTATACAAAGCCAACGGAGTACAACGCACCGTCATGCATTGTTTTGGCTCCAATTGCGCAGCGATTTGAGATTCGTCCACAAATCTTTCAGTTGCTGCCTATATTTCTTGGGAAGGAGGAAGAAAATCCATACCATCATATCAAGGCGTTTTTCAAGCTATGTTCCACATTCACATTCACCAATGTTACTGAAGAGCAAATTCGACTTCGGTTATTCCCATTCTCTTTGAGGGATAAAGCAAGCAGTTGGTTGGATTCTCTTCCCGAAGCATCTATCGACACATGGACAGAATTATCCAAGAAGTTTTTGTCCAAGTTCTTCCCCGCTCGAAGAACCAATGCTCTGATCAATGAAATCATGAGCTTTCGGCAACAAGAAGGTGAACAGTTTCATGAAAGTTGGGAGCGATATAAGGACTTGTTTCTTCAATGTCCTCATCATGGTTTCAACACTTGGCAAAAGGTTCATTATTTTTACAAAGGTTTGAACTCTCAATGTAGGAGTTTGGTTGATTCAACAGTTGGTGGAACCTTGATGGACAAAACTCCAGAAGATGCCATTCATGCCTTTGAAACTATATGTGAAAATTCTGAGCATTGGGATTTTCCTACAAAAGATTCGAGAGTTCCAACTGCATCGTCAACAAAAAGAGGAGGCATTTATGAAGTTGATACAAGGACGGGTTTAGAGGCACAAGTAGCAGCTCTCACGAAGCTTCTCACACCACTAGTAAGCAAGATAGCCACGCAGCCATGTAGCTTATGTGCAAGCATCGCCCATGACATGGAACATTGTCCAGCAAATCCTAATCTAGAAGGCATGCATGAGGTCAAAGCATTTAGTGGGAGGCCCCGAAATGATCCGTACTCAAATAATTATAACCCGGGATGGAGAGAACACCCGAATTTTTCTTGGAGAGATTCCCAAAATAGCATGGGACCATCCAATTCAACAAAGCAATATCAGCAGCCTTATCAAGCTCCTCCAATTCAACAAGAAGACCCTTCTATCAAGGACATGCTATCTCAACTCTTAAAGAAAACCGATCGGTATGAACAGGAAGTTGTATCGCTTAGACAAAGTCAGACGGTGTTGGAAAAGGCTCAATCTAATTTTGAGATTCAATTGGGACAAATAGCTACTACTTTGAACAAATTGGAGCGAGCACAAGGGCAATTTCCAAGCCAAACAGAAATTAATCCAAGAAATAATGAGCATGTGATGGCCATTACAACCTTGAGAAGTGGGAAGATGATCGACAACAAAGTAGAGATGCATGAGAAAGTTGAAAAGGAGAAGGAGAGGGGAACGGATATGAATGACCAGCAGCAAAATCATTATTTTAAGAGTTCAAAACAGCCACTATCTGAGCCGAAAAGAACTTTATTTGATCCAATGCTTAAGGATGTGGTGTATGATCCTCCTCTACCATTCCCTCAGCGTGCAAAGAAGGGAAGAAAAGATCAGTACTCGGGGCATATATTGGACCAATTCAAGAAAGTTCAAATCAACATTCCATTGCTTGAAGCCATCAAAGAAATTCCATCATATGCAAAATTCTTGAAAGAACTGTGTACTCACAAGCGAAAGTATGGAAAATATGAAGAGGTGATGTTATCAGAAACGGTAAGTGCAGTGCTTCAACGAAAATTGCCACCAAAACTCAAGGATCCAGGAAGCTTTACAGTTCCGTGCATTATTGGAGAGAAAGAAAAATTTGAACGAGCCTTACTTGACTTGGGAGCAAGTGTCAATCTTATGCCTTATTCTGCGTACAAACATCTAAGTTTGGGGGAGTTAAAACATTGTTCCATGTCTTTACAACTTGCAGATCGTTCTGTGAAATATCCAAGGGGCATTATTGAAGATGTACTTGTCAAGGTTGATCAATTCATTCTTCCTGCTGACTTCATTGTTTTGGACATGGAAGAAGCTGAAATTCCAGGCAATGAGCTACCTCTCATTCTTGGTAGACCTTTCATGGCTACTGCAGGTACTAAAATTGATGTAAAAGCTGGTTTACTAACTAACCATGACTGTGCAGGACGTTACCGTAAAATTTCAGATCTTTGAAGCTTTGAAGAGTCCTTTGGATCCTCATGATTGTTTTCAGATTGATGTTGTGGATCGAATGAAAGAGAAGTTTGAGGTTGCTCCTGACAAAGCTTTACCTCGGAAATATTTTGAACCAAACCAAAAGGTTTTGTGGAAAAAGTCAAGGTTCACGTTATTTCCCACTAGGCTTCGATCTAGATGGACTGATGTGGACCTTATCAAGTATCTGTGGTTTGCAATTTAAGTGTTGTGGAATGATTCAAGATATGAAGAGTGGTTTGACATTTAAGGTGAATGACCATCGTTTGAAGCAATACCTGGACCCTATCCCACAAATGAATGAGGAGGTTTTGTACCTCAATGATTCTCCATTCATTTGAAGGTCGCTAAGTCCGGCTGAAGACTTTAAATTTAGCGCTTCTTGGGAGGCAACCCAAGCATTTGATGCAAGAAGATGGAGTTGGTATGTGCGGCAAGTCTGACTTTAGCGACCACTTAACCAGGGGAGTCCTAAACTTTACTCTTTATTTTTCATCTTATTTTTATTCCGTTCTACTTTTCCTTATTCGTTTAACTCATTGCATGCCTTGTTTTTCATTTCACATTGAGGACAATGTGTTATTCAAGTTTGGGGGAGAGATCTCATTTTGATAGTTTTTCAGTTAGTTGTTTTGTGTCATAAAACGTAGGCTCTCTGTTTTAGTAAATTCTGGAACAATCTGTTGCTGATTCTGAGTTTTGGTCCGCGTTGTGTTCTTTAATTTTTCGTTCTGAATCCAACCATATAAAGAACGTTGAATTCTACCAAGTAGTTTGCAAGATATATGTAAAAAAATGAACAGAGGTCAGAAATTGGTTATTGCAGAGCATGAAGTCTTCGTTTTCAAGTCTTGACTGTTAGTTTTTGTTAGTTGTCCTGTTCTGTCTTTGTTAGTTGTCCTGTTTTCATTAGTGTCTAAAAAAAAACAAAAAAAAATATATATATATATATATATATATATATTATTTTTTGCTCTTCTCTCAATCTTGTTGGTTAGTCCTTTCCAAATCCAATGATAATAACTCGGTTGCCACTTAAATATGGTTCTAAGAAATTGATAAGCATTGTTTGTGTTCTTTTGTTTGATTCTTTGGTTAGCTATGCTTTATAAGATCATTCTTTACACCTTTCTCATGCACTTAGCCAAGGTTAATGCAATTGTTTGCTTGCTTAGAGAATTATATGCAGATTAAGTACTCATTAAGATCTCAACGAACACTAGAACTTGCTTCAATATCTCTCGAGGCGAAATCCTAAATCATGCAATATTGGGGAGATGATTTTGGCCATTTTTGGACCGTTTGAGCCTTTATATACCCAACCTCTTATGTTATGTTATCCTTAGTTAGCCCCTTGAAGCCAAACACTTAACTTTTTCTTTCATTACCCACATTAATCCTTACCCATTTAACCCGTATTAGCCATACCTTATAGCTTGAGATGAATACCAAGATGATGAAGACAGCGATAAAGGTTGAGTGTACATCAAAGATGTGGCGTGTACCGAGGTACCATGTGTTTATATTACTATTCAGTTAAAAAAAAAAAAAAAAAAAAAAAAAAAAAAAAAAAGAAAGAAAGAAATAAAAAGTTTGAAAGTGTTCCATTCCTAACATGAGTCCTGGACGCTAAGAATTATATTTCAAAAGCGGCTCGACCGAAATACATATGAAGAAGTCTTGGTATATCTCAGATTCTAGTTTTTTTCCTACCCTTTCTTTCATAGCCAATAACCTAGCCTAACGTTACAACCTTTGTAAAGTCCATTTGATCTTTGGTGTTGCACTGATTTACATTAGTGGAGAGACGATATGAAGAGCAAGCCTATGGGGTTCGATACATTCATTATTCAGAGATCACTCATAATCACACTTATGTGCATATACCTATCCGAGTTGCAAGTGTTGTGTTAATTATTGGCTAGTCTTATACGTACCGGAAGAATGGTTGTGTAAGGTGTTGTTAACTTTTTGAATCATGTATAGAATCCTTACAATGTTTCTCTATTCTTTGAACTATATTTTTCCATGCAATCTTTGAGGAATATATTTGGAAAGTCTAACTGCATTGTGTTTTGTTTAAATTTAATTTTGAGTCTTTGTTGTGTTTGCTTGAGGACAAGCAAAGTCTAAGTTTGGGGGTATTTGATACGACCAATATTGCATACATTTTAATGCCCTTTAGTTTAGATTTTTGTTATGTTTTTGAGTGAATTTAGTTTGTTTCATTTAGTTTTATGTTTTTCTTAGATTTGAAGAGTGAAGATGAAGAAAGAAGAAAAAATGAGCATTTTGGCGATTGAAGTGAGTTATGTGCCCTGGAAGCAGAAGCTGTTTGTGCAGATCAGCCAACTTGACGGAATAAACTGTACTTCCTCAAAATGAACCAGCTGTTGAGCCTTATACCATTGGAAAGATATGGATGTTAGCTTTCAGAGGAATTTTACGGACTGTGATTTCGAGTTTCCTAGACGATGTTATGAAAGTTTTTGTACAAGACGTCGGTCAGCCAAGTCTACGCGGAAATTGCAAAATCTGTTGGGTTTTTTCAAGTCATAATTCAGTCGAAGCCCAAAGCCCAAGATAGAAAACGTTGGAGATGATTTTTACCTATTTCAAATGGGTCTGGAGTAATTTACTTGGGAAACTTACCTGCCACATCATCAATTATCCAATACAAATGAGGAAAAGATTAAAAAAAAGACCTAAGGATGCTAGGATTTTGACGAATGATAAGGGAGAGATTGTAGGAAGCAAAGGGGGTTCTCTGGTGAGGGATTCTCTGCGTGTTTTTGGAGGAGCAGCAGCCGCTTTCCATTTTTCCTAAGTTTTTCATGTTCTTAATACTTTTAATTATGTTTTCTTATTTTATGAGTAACTAAACTCTTTTTCTCTAGGGTTAGGATGATGCCCTAGCATGAATGTCTATGGTTTTTAATGTTATTCATTGGATTTCTAGTTTCTTTTAGATGAATGCTTAATCACTGTTTGAACTGTTACTGTTTGTTTGAGTTCTTTGATTGATCACCTTAGGACTTAGGACTTTGCATCTAGTAAGATTGGAAGATGAATTTGAGGCTGAACTAGCAATATAATTCATTCAATTAGCTTGTTGGTTAAGTGTGGTAAATTACATTATTGCTTGACAAAGAATAATGGTTTGCTTGGTTCCCTTGTTTTCTAGAGCGTAAAGAGTCCTACTTGTTAAATTTATGCCTTAACCAGGATAGACTGCATGTTAGGATATACGACCTCTGCTGCCTGAACTAGGAGAGAATCATTCACTTAAGGAAAACTATGGTCTAATGTGCCTGACAAGGACTTAGATACGAGAATTATCATCTAAAGAATT